AGTATTCTCAATGCATCCCATTACCCCTATAATGTATGTTTAGGGTAATTACCATTACCCTATTACCTCCTTACCTGATGAGTGAGAAGTGCAACCAGCTCTCTAAAATGTGGTTTGTTTACAGTATATTTTAAACAGCAGGATGCTGTTGCTGCTTACTATAGCCATATGTTTACCGAAGAACGAGAGATTCATATCCAAATATTCAAATAATCATCAAAGTGAAGCTCTAGATCTAAAATTAGATTTACCTTCACAGGCTGTTTCGACACAACCTCGACTGTTTATTTTTTATTTATTTATTTTTTTCTTTCTGAGAAGCCAGAGGAGAGAACACAGCCCGATGCACCTCAGGAGGCAGCGAGCGCAATGATTAGTGCATTGACTGAAACAACTGATAGACATTTGGCAGAATTCCAGCCCTATAATATAGAAGAATCCATAATTAAGCATCATGTGACGCTGGAAAGTGCCGCCGGCCTCTCTGTGGGCACAGATTCCACTCATCAGCCTAATTCAAATGCAAGGCACGCTCGTGGCGATTTTATGAAAAGATCTGGGATGACAGCAACATGCACAAAGAGGGAAGGATCATTTTCTCTTCAGATTTAGGATGCTTCCCTTGTGTTTTTACTCCACAAATCGGAGTGCTATCATTATACACGCAAGTCATTTTATAACCAATCAGAATGATCTATCAGCAGACACCCCCTCCCCCCACTTCCATTTGCATTCAGCATTTTGTTGCATTACACTGCAATCATGAACCAATAACACATAAATGCACGCCAATGACGCTACAGTATTACACGCATACTGCATCTCTGACAGACGTGATTCACTGTCCTTTGAGCTCAAGAGGAAAATGTTTTTGTGAATGTTTTTTGGAGGGGGAGGTGGTGTGCCAAATTTGAGCTGACATCATCAGCACATGTAAATTTGCCTTATGTAAAAACCAAAAAAAGGGAAGACTGTCCCCTGAATGAGGGCTGAGCTCAGAAACTTGTCCAAAGGCTTGAGCGCATTCTTTCTGGAGGACTGCACGGTCAGAGCGATGCATCAGCCAGCCGCCTTTGAAGCAGATAAACCCTTTAAAACCATGAAGAGCATTTTCATACATTTTAGCTAGAGGCAGGTGGTTAGGGTTTTGATGTGTTCGCTAAGTACTCTTTTTGTCCAAACCTCTATAACAAATCTCTTGCTGTTTCGTCTGTGGACTACAGTGTCAAATTTGCTTTGTGGATCTTGTTTAGAATTTGCACAGAAACCATTGCATCCTTCAAATATGCTACACTACTATATTGAAGGATTTATTATACAATTGATCATGTAGCTATAACTAGAGAAGATAAATTATAATTTTGCTGTGGTCTGCAAGAAACACTGATTCAGACCTCCATGTAAACATACGTCAGTGGACAATCGCTGACAGCATTTGCTGCATGCCTGCCTCAGTAGAGGCTGTGTGGCAAAAGTCAGTTTCCATAGTGATTGCGGCAAATGCAGTAGATTAGCAGCACAGTGTAGTGAGGAGAGATTGCAGACAATGTGACGCGCTCTGTGTTACACTGTGGTCATAATGCTCTGTGATATATTTATATATCGATATATTATATATGACATATTTGACTGTTTTGTAGCTTCAAAACAAAAGTCTACATTTCAGTTGTTAATTAGAAATGAATGACTGTAAAATATAATTAAACACACTATATGTGTTTTACTATGATGATTTGTGTCCAAAAAAAAAGGAAGGGGAAAGTATCTTCTTTTTTTAAAGAATGAACTGTAAAGCCAGTTAAATGCTGGGTTAAACATTTAGGCCTGTGTGTAACTCGAGTGCAATTTTGAGGCAGAGAAAAAAAATTGGAAAATTGAAACATGAAAATTTAATATTTGCTAATGAAAGGAGACAAAAAAGGGAAGATATGAATGGGAGCAAACCCCAGCAGAAACTCTAATATAACAAGGAGGCTGAGACCATATTGCTGTTGCCTAGCAACCCTTGAACAAAAATTTTAAAATGATTTCGATGCCCCATACTGCTTTGAGGGATGTATATTTTTATACAGCCCACCTAAATGGTCTGCGGTGCTCACACATAACCTGGATCCTCTGCACTTGAAACCAACAATTTATTGTCACTTTTTCAAGGTTCGCTAAGACAAGTCAGAGACACCGAATACGAAGCACTCTTAAACAGTAATGACACAAGAAGGATTGATTACTCTCTTATAGCTGACAGGATTTGCATATTTCATTAAAACAAAATCAAGCCCAAGTCGTTATGGGGTAGATGAGACAAATCATTTAAAAATATATGCATAATTTGATTCACAGTTTGATGAGAAATGGTATAGTGGTTTCTTTCTCATATCATTTAGAACAGATGTTGTCATATTGTACTACCTATGAAGATTTCTTCAACTTACAGACTCTTAGATGAAAATAATAACTAAATAATTAAATGAAATGTAAAAGTTCCTTACACAAGCTTTTTTAAAAATATACAAATCACAATAGAATTCCTTTCCAGCAACATTAAATTCTCTTATATGTAAAACCAATAATAAAACATATAAATATGATAGATCATACAGTTCAAATGTATAGTTTAGTTTATAATTTTCATATTAAGACCTTGTTTGTTTTACTTCTTCTGGTAACATCGAAATTAACTCTTCTTTCTTTCTTTTTTTCCTTTCTTTATTTCTTTCTTTCTTACTTTTTATGTCACAAATATGAATTTATATGACTGAACAAACCTGACTCTGTCAAACACAAACAGTTCCCAAAATACCACGTTTTGACCTGTTATTGTTCTTTTTTTTTAATAATCTGAATGCCTTTGACAGCCTGTTGATTATCACATATCTCTCTCTAAATGAGCCTATCTGGGCATAACATGGTGTCACCAGCAAGCCAAAAGTACTCAAGTGTCCACAGCAGGTGCATAAATATGTCATGTTTTCACAGCCCATAACCAAAGGGAGATGCAGACAGATGGAGTGCAAATTTTAAATTTCATGTAGTATCATTAGTAGGTTAGTTCACCCCTCATTGGTTCACCATCTGCTTCCAATTGAGTTCTCCACTCTGATCCAAGCTTTGAGAGAGGAGTTGAAATCTATACCACTCTGACCAAATCCCACATTAACTTTTCATTAACCAGTGTTAACAGACTTTCACAATTCTGTCATTCAGAAGAAATTAAAAAGCTAACTAGTAAGTGCATGATATATCTTTCATACATATGATGGACTGAAATATACTTTATATATAATTTATACTTTACTTACCACATATTTATGGACTTCCAACAGAAGGTCAAGACTGTGCTGATGTATACCAAGACATTTATGCAATCCAATTATGCATCCCATAAAGATAGTGTCCAGGTTAATTTCTTTTTTTTTTTCTTATTGAGGCATTATTTCTTTAAGTGTTCAGTTTCAGATGAGGAGTGATATTTCCTGCTCACACCTGATGCTGTGTCAGTGGCTTCACCTGTTCTGCTCCTCATCTGCCATATTTTTAGTATATGTTATGGTTTGAAGTGGGCTGGGTTTGAAGAGGGATTTAGGATGGGCAGTGAATGCATGAGTTCATTTTAACCTCATGATAGCCACAGATGTGTGTGTGTGCCTGTGTGAGTAAATTAATGAAACGTGAATTTTAAGTCAAGATTTCAAGGATTTAAAGAGAGAGAGAGAAAAATAAGAAATAGCCCATGTTTTTAATATGCTGCTGCATCCCAAGGACTGTGCTCAGTTTTAGAAAAAAAGAAACCTAAATATTCAACCGATATATCGACTAATTTTACGTGAGTGTGATGTTAACACATGCACATGCAAGGTAAAGATTTGCGTGCCTGACCTGAAAGTGTGTGTGTGTGTGTCCGTTGGGGGGTGTTGACTTTCACATGACATTGACGCTCTGGAAATGTTGAGTAGCTGCTGATCTCAGACAGTCGTTGCTCGGTGGATCCAGCACCACTCGCCCGTGGACAGCTCCCGCAGGACCGCTTTACATGAACAGAAGGCTCATTTACGTGCCAACTCATTCTGGAAGTTTACAACTTGGAGAGGAATCTACTGATACCTCACTGCATGACACACGGGCATATTGCTTTTGGGAAAGAAGCCAAATTCACTGTAAGTAGATACGAGAAATTTGGAAATGATTGTCATTTCATTAAAATGTCTTAAGTGTGTTTGTGTGCATGCGTGTCTGTGTGTTTAAATGCATTTAATTAAATGGGTATAACAATAGTAAATGCATCAAAACATTGCCGAAACATAACTGAGAAGCTGGCTGATCGTTCGATGGAAAAAAAATAAAATTAAAAAAGATTTATATCTGTAAATTGACTGTCATGACAGCCAATTCGGTCTCAGTTAGAGACGGCAGCTCTCTCAGTGTTTTTTTGTGTGTCTTTACGGGGGGAAAACAGTGGTTTCGTGTGATTCGTTGTCTTCAGGTTAACTGAAACTGTGTCGGGTTTGAACGGGTGTTTGCGTGGTGGATCTCTGCTGCTGTCTGAAATCAGAGACATGGCGACAAACAACACCAAAAGCACTGACGGACAAGTTGTGACGGAACTCAACGAGATCACAACTAACGACAAACCCAAAGCAGAGGACGCCAAACCAGAGAAAAAGAAGAAAGACATTCCAGACAGAGAAACTTGGGGTGGGAAATTTGATTTTCTCCTGTCATGTGTGGGCTACGCCATCGGACTGGGCAACGTCTGGAGATTTCCTTATCTGTGCGGGAAAAACGGCGGAGGTAAGAGCAGCTTCGGCTTCTCCAAGAGTCTGAGATGTTGTGTCTGGATGAATGTGTGCTTTGTGTTGCTGTGCACAGCTCCACTTGGTGCTTTCATCTATTTCTGTGATTCCAGGGGCTTTCTTGATTCCTTATTTTTTGACGCTTATTTTTGCGGGAGTTCCTCTGTTTTTTCTTGAGTGCGCTCTTGGACAGTACACATGTCCGTTGGGGGGTGTTGACTTTCACATGACATTGACGCTCTGGAAATGTTGAGTAGCTGCTGATCTCAGACAGTCGTTGCTCGGTGGATCCAGCACCACTCGCCCGTGGACAGCTCCCGCAGGACCGCTTTACATGAACAGAAGGCTCATTTACGTGCCAACTCATTCTGGAAGTTTACAACTTGGAGAGGAATCTACTGATACCTCACTGCATGACACACGGGCATATTGCTTTTGGGAAAGAAGCCAAATTCACTGTAAGTAGATACGAGAAATTTGGAAATGATTGTCATTTCATTAAAATGTCTTAAGTGTGTTTGTGTGCATGCGTGTCTGTGTGTTTAAATGCATTTAATTAAATGGGTATAACAATAGTAAATGCATCAAAACATTGCCGAAACATAACTGAGAAGCTGGCTGATCGTTCGATGGAAAAAAAATAAAATTAAAAAAGATTTATATCTGTAAATTGACTGTCATGACAGCCAATTCGGTCTCAGTTAGAGACGGCAGCTCTCTCAGTGTTTTTTTGTGTGTCTTTACGGGGGGAAAACAGTGGTTTCGTGTGATTCGTTGTCTTCAGGTTAACTGAAACTGTGTCGGGTTTGAACGGGTGTTTGCGTGGTGGATCTCTGCTGCTGTCTGAAATCAGAGACATGGCGACAAACAACACCAAAAGCACTGACGGACAAGTTGTGACGGAACTCAACGAGATCACAACTAACGACAAACCCAAAGCAGAGGACGCCAAACCAGAGAAAAAGAAGAAAGACATTCCAGACAGAGAAACTTGGGGTGGGAAATTTGATTTTCTCCTGTCATGTGTGGGCTACGCCATCGGACTGGGCAACGTCTGGAGATTTCCTTATCTGTGCGGGAAAAACGGCGGAGGTAAGAGCAGCTTCGGCTTCTCCAAGAGTCTGAGATGTTGTGTCTGGATGAATGTGTGCTTTGTGTTGCTGTGCACAGCTCCACTTGGTGCTTTCATCTATTTCTGTGATTCCAGGGGCTTTCTTGATTCCTTATTTTTTGACGCTTATTTTTGCGGGAGTTCCTCTGTTTTTTCTTGAGTGCGCTCTTGGACAGTACACATCCATTGGCGGCCTTGGGGTTTGGAAACTAGCTCCAATGTTCAAAGGTATATGATTTCTGTTCAGCACCTTTCTTTCTTATCTGCTCCCATACTTACTGCTGAACAAATACGAGCTGGTTTCTAGAAGTATGCAATGTTGGTGTTGTGTGAGACCTTCAGTAAATACAAAATTGAATGAGTGGATTTAAACGCATGGGTTATGTGTTGTACGTTTGTTATGACTGATATATGTTGTTCTGAAGATGCTAATGTACCCTCTGATCTTCAAAGCTGAAGACCAATTATGTAATAAAAGGCAATGATGCTTAAAGGACGATTTGACCAGGTGGTTCACATGCTGCTTTGAAGGAATGAATGTAAATTATAACACACTGTCATAACTATAGGTGTTGGTCTTGCGGCTGCTCTTCTCTCATTCTGGCTGAACATTTACTACATTGTCATCATTTCCTGGGCGCTGTACTACTTATACAACTCCTTTACCACTGTAAGTATTCCTTGTCAAATGCACTTGCATGCCATAAAAAAAGTCATTTGGAGAATGTATTTAAAAAAAGAAAAGTATAGCATTCTTCTGCTCTTTGTAGGAGCTTCCATGGAAATCTTGTAACAATCCATGGAACACAGACAGATGTTACACAAACTACAGCATAGTAGACACCACCAATCTCACCAGCGCTGTCATGGAGTTTTGGGAGTAAGATTTTGGGCAAATTGATGTGCATGGCCTTCTTTGACCTTTGTACATGAAAATACAAAGTATTATACATGTGTCCAGTAAGTGTCTTGATGTGAAGTGTAATTGTGTTGCATGATGTGCTTATACAGACGCAATATGCATCAAATGACTGATGGCTTAGAAAAACCTGGTGAAATTCGTTTGCCACTTGCAATAACACTGGCCATTGCCTGGGTCCTCGTGTACTTCTGTATCTGGAAAGGTGTTAGCTGGACTGGAAAGGTGAGATGTCTTTGTTAGAGTCTTCAACTCTCTGTCTTCAAGAGTTCGGTCTGGAGGACAGAAGAGTTTGTAATGATTTCACCGCATTGAATGTAAAACACACATGCTTGCCATCAACTTTGTGGGAGTAGGCAAAAATGCTCTATGGGTTTCTTGTCCCATGAAAGCAATTTCCAGCATTTTTTAACAGACACAAACATACATGCTGAACAAATGCACATGGGGAAATGTCTGATAGAGAAATCAATGTTTTGCAGGTTGTTTACTTCTCTGCCACCTACCCATACTTCATGCTGTTCATTTTGTTTATTAGTCTTCAACTCTCTGTCTTCAAGAGTTCGGTCTGGATTTTGAGTGAGTTTGTAATGATTTCACCGCATTGAATGTAAAACACACATGCTTGCCATCAACTTTGTGGGAGTAGGCAAAAATGCTCTATGGGTTTCTTGTCCCATGAAAGCAATTTCCAGCATTTTTTAACAGACACAAACATACATGCTGAACAAATGCACATGGGGAAATGTCTGATAGAGAAATCAATGTTTTGCAGGTTGTTTACTTCTCTGCCACCTACCCATACTTCATGCTGTTCATTTTGTTTATTCGTGGAGTGACCCTGCCTGGGGCTAAAGATGGAATCATGTTCTATGTCACTCCTGATTTTGAGAAGCTGAAGCAGTCTGAGGTGATTTTACATGTTTAATCATTTAAGCAGGATCAAACAAACCCAATCTAGCTGCTAAACAGTTTCATTTTCCATCTCAGGTTTGGCTGGATGCTGCAACACAGATTTTCTTCTCCTATGGTTTGGGACTAGGCTCTCTTATTGCTCTGGGCAGCTACAACCCTTTCAATAACAATGTGTACAGGTATGAATGATGCAATCAACATTTCATCAGTTAGATAACTCGACCCTCTTTCAGTGTTTCAGGCCCTTTTCACCCTGACCATTTGTTTTTTTGTAATGCTGTGAATGATGTTTGTTTGAATGAGCCAGATCTCTAACTGTGACTGACTGTGATTATGTGCCCATTATCAGACTTGACATTTTAGCATTTGAATAGTGAGAATTACCATCAAATTAAATTTGAAGTTTGGCTATATCACTTACATAATCCTTACATCTTCTCCTGAAATGCTAAAATGATATGCAGCTTTCAGATCAGACAAAGACGTTTATAGCACATTTGAAGACAGAATCCTTTTTTCCCCTCTTTTTTTTCTGCAGGGATTCTATCATCGTGTGCTGTATAAATTCCTTCACTAGTATGTTTGCTGGATTTGTGATTTTCTCTATTGTGGGCTTCATGGCACATGTGACAAAGAGATCAATAGCTGATGTAGCTGCATCAGGTAATTCGTTCATTTGTACATAATTAGAATATTGCATTTTACATTTTTGTATCGGTTGAAGTATGGATATTTCTCTTAAAGTGTTAATATAACTGTTGTTTTTCTCATGGTTTACACAGGTCCTGGTTTGGCGTTTTTAGCTTATCCAGAAGCTGTGACGCAGTTGCCCGTCTCACCACTGTGGGCTATTCTCTTCTTCTCCATGCTGCTGATGCTGGGAATCGACAGTCAGGTGAGAATATCACATATTCAAGCTCTGACCTAGAAACAGAAGTGAACGGGATCTGGTAGGTACTTCAGAGTCCCCGGCGACCACACAAGGAAACATAAGAAATATTAAAAACACTCAACTGGCCTTGTGCCAAATACAATCTTTTGATGTTGATTTCTGCCTTTATGGCTGCATGCACTGAGGATTTTAAACTGATGTTCATTGTCTCTTAAGCTGGAGATAGTGGGACTGTTGCAATGTTAGCAAAATAAACGTGTGTAGAATCGATCCCAGCCCTGTGGCACCAAAAAATATAGAATTTAGTACTTGTTTTATGTCCTTTACTGTAATGAATTGTGTTTGTTTTTTGAAAGTCATATAAAAACAACTCTGATTGGATATTGTTACGTAATAACAAACACATGCACACACACATGTTGTGTTTCCATGTTTTATGGGGACATTCCATAGGCGTATTGGTTTTTATACTGTACAAACTGTATGTGCTATTGCCCTACACCAACCATACCCCTAAACCTACCCCTTACAGGAAACTTTCTGCATTTTTACTTTCTCAAAAAAACTCATTCTGTATGATTTATAAGCTTGTTTCCTCATGGGGACCTCAAAAATGTCCCCACAAGGTAAAAATTTACTAGTATTACTATCCTTGTGGGGACATTTTGTTCCCATAACGTGATAAATACCAGGTACACACACACACCTGTGCATACAGATTTATTGAATGTAACCTAATTGTTTGTTGCGATTAATATGCTCACGAAATTTATTATTTATTATTATTTATTTCTTATTGAAAATTGGTTTCACACTGGAGCCATTTATGTGTAAAAATAACAAAATTAATTTTGTGTTGTGATCTATTGCTATATTTTCTTCATGCTACCATCAGTTCACAGAATGCTTCAGTGTTTTCAAAAAATGCCATATAAATGCAATTTCAAAACACCATTGTTGATGTTGTTTTCAGTTCTGCACAGTGGAGGGCTTCATCACTGCTCTGGTGGATGAATTCCCACGGCTGCTCAGGAAAAGAAGAGAGATTTTCATTGCATGTGTTTGCATTGTATCCTACGCCATTGGGTTGTCCAATATCACGCAGGTAAATCAATGAAGGAAGCAGATGATGAGATGTTTGACCAGAGGTTGTATATTAATATGATTGCAGGCTGCAGGGCCGTGTATTGATTTTCTTGCTTTGTTTTAGGGTGGCCTCTATGTGTTTAAACTCTTCGACTATTACTCAGCCAGTGGAATGTGTCTGCTCTTCCTGGTGTTCTTTGAGTGTATCTCAATCTCCTGGTGCTATGGTGAGTCCTTTTTATGTCCTCTTAAAATCTGTAATTTGCATTGTGCTCATCCTTTGCATTGAATAGCATTATAAAAAAAAAAGGACAGAAATGCTTTGGCTGTCAGTCATAAATAGTCAAAAATAATCCTGTGACAGCAAAAGTGCATCCAGTGGGACAGGGCCACAAAATGGCATCTACGCCAATACTGGTGCAAAAAAAAAAATATATATATATATGCATTTGTATAAACAATGAAGAACAATCAATTGTCAATTAAAAATCTTCTACTTTTCATTTTAGATATTTTTGCTAATTGCATGTGATGAATTTTAAATAGGGTTGTCAACTGTCCAATATAATGCAACCAACCAAACAACATGTATGTACGACACAGAAACTCTAACTAAAGTTAGTAACCATAGTCATAAATTAAAAGTTGTGTTAAAGATTATGTCAGACTTTGTTATGGCAAAGCAGATTAGCAGAACTGCTTTGGCCTTGGTCTGCCTATACTGAAGCTTCTATTTCTTTCATGTTTATGCTACTATCATGTGGGACTGATACATTACCACTGCCGTTTTTCTGCCAGTTTCTGGGCATTATTCTTGGTTGTGACTGTAGTGTTAGTTACTGCCTGCTTTCTTTTAGAGTCTGGACCTTGAGTAACTAACTTTGTTGACCCTGTGTACGGCATGTCCCTCATTATGTCTATTGTTATCATTAGTGCTTCTGTTTTCTCTCTGTGCTCAACTAAAGCCAGTTGATTTCTCAGCGTTTGCCACCTCCGCTGTCTGATAGTGCGATATTGCAGGGTATGGCCCGTTTTTGCATGGAATTGTTTGCAATTTTAATCCAATCTTTGAATCAGCAGCTGCCTGGGAAATTGTACTGGCTGCTCATCGTGTGTCTGATATGCGATGAATTCAATTTTCAATTTCATTCAACTCTTTCTGTCCTTATCATGTGTTTACCCTCTTCACAAACATCCTATCACCCTTTTTATTTTTTTTAGATTGAATTACTTTTCCATATCGTTGCTCTAGATCAGGACTACTGTTTTTAATCACCTCCATGTTCTGTGGGTAAATTTGTTTGTGCTTTGATGATTTATAGTGGCGCGTAATGTTACCACACTTAACAATCACAACAATCACCTTCTCAGTACAAATTAAGCACATTTTGGTGCTTCTTTCAGGAAAAATAAATGCATCTCTGTACATGTCTGTACAGTCTTTTTCAAATGCATTCAGATGTTTTCCTTGTCAATCATCCTTTTAAATTGTCACACAACTATATCTAAGAATTGAAAGGGAGTGAAGGTTCTTGCTATCTTTTTGCTTTTTTATATGATTCTGTTGCAGATATTTAACACATTCAGTTAGTATTTTAAAGAACCATTCATTTCAAGCTTTTATACACACATGCTTATACATGTTATTATAAATTTTTTAAATATATATATATATATATATATATATATATATATATATGTGTGTGACCCTGTGTGTGACCAAAACCAGTCATAAGGGTCAATTTTTCGAAATTTAGATTTATACATAATATGAAAGCTGAATATATAAGCTTTCCATTGATGTATGGTTTGTTAAGATAGGACAATATTTGGCTGAAATACAACTATTTGAATATCTGGAATCTGAGGGTGCAATAAAATCAAAATATTGAGAAAATCACCTTTAAAGTTGTCCAAATGAAGTTCTTAGCAATGCATATTACTAATCAAAAAGAAAGTTTTAATATATTTACGGTAGAAAATTTACAAAATATCTTCATGGAACATGATCTTTACTTACTATCCTAATGATTTTTGGCATAAAAGAAAAAATAATTTTGACCCATACAATATATTTTTGGCTATTGCTACAAATATACCCCAGTGACTTAAGACTGGTTTTGTGGTCCAGGGTCACATATGCATTTGTATAAATGATGACTAGATTCACTTAGGATTGATTTGGAGAGCATCCTTTAATCCTCAGTACTGCTTCGGATAAATCAATGCATGTATTGATAGATGAACCCGTCAGTCCTATTGTTGCAACTTAGTTGCAGTGAATTAATGCTATCCCTTTCAAATTTCATCTAATTCCAGGTGTGAACAAGTTTTATGATAACATCCAGGAAATGATTGGATACAAGCCTTGTCTATGGTGGAAACTGTGCTGGGTTTTCTTCACTCCTCTAATTGTCGCTGTAAGTAGCCTACCCTTTTCCTTATGATGTGACATTACAAAAGATGTATATATATATATATTAGGGATGGGAAGATTCCCTGATTCGCTCGGTGCATCGGCATAAAACGTTAACGATGCGGTGCATCGGTTTAAAAAGTGTGCATCGGCTACAAGTTGTCATTTATATCGCGATGCATCATTTCTAACATATTTGCATCTGTAAAAACAGATTTATTTATATATAATTACTAGTGGATGCGCTATACTTTTATTATTTAGAAAGTGACCAATAATCTGTGACCAATATTTTATATGTAGATTGATTTCTCCTCTCTAAACTGTTACTCAAGCGCGTGCTCTCATCGCCGCTGCTGCATGGATATGACGCATAACAACACCACGCAGACCCGAGGAAAAACTGGGGTTAAAGTCCAAAACCTGTCGTGAAATAACCTAACAAATCAATCGGGGCTAAAGCAGTTCCATTAACGACAAATTAAGTTCACGCGATCTCACTAATTTGTGCACGCTTATTCTTAAGCAGCTCTTTGTCGCTCAGAGCGCAATCAAATAGAAGCGCAATAATTCTGAGTAAAATTTGAATTTTGTTAAAATATTTGTTGTTGGACATTAAATGTGTCTTTTGTAGAATTTTAACTCTACATATAAAGTGTATTTTTATGATAGCAGTTACTGTAAAGGGACTATTGTAATGGATAAATCAAATGTAAGCGAATACAGTCCTAATTACTAAGCTCAAATGAGTTAATGTGTGTTTCTTATACCAGTTAAAATATAGTCATTTTCTTTATTTATTTTCATTTTAAATTCAGTGATTTTAACTTTTAATTTGGTTATTTTAATGCTTTAAAGAGCAATTTTAGGTTGTAATGTTCTAATATTCTGCTATCTGTTCTGCTAACTATAAAAGGTACAGCTGTCATAAAACCAGAGAGAAAGGCTGCATGGCTAGTAACTGTAAAACAAAAGTCAAATAATAGTATGTGAGAGAGTAGTAATATTGGGTTCCTATTGGTCAGTGTTAGAGGAGCTTAATTTAGCCTGACAGTTAGCCTGCTTTAGACCAGATTAGTTCCCCAGCATAAATTACCACAGTGACTAGCTTGATCTAGGCCTGTGTTAAATTTGCTTTATGGAACCAAATCATTTGACAATGAGTCAGATAACTGAAGTAAGCCTAGCTTATTTGGTTAACTTGTTTTATGAAACAGGCCTCGAGGCGTTAAAAGTGATCATATTTTCTCCATTGCATCATATTGGATCGAATCGCATTGTGTTGAATCGAATCGAATCAGAATCGTATCGCCCTGCATCGTAACAGGGGTGAATTGTATCGCGTCGCATCGCTAGCTGCTTCATATGTATCTTTAATGTATCGTATCGTTGGCTATGCATCGACATGCGTATCGTATCGGCATGAGTCATGAGATGCACATTCTTAATATATATACAGTATATATATATATATATATATATATACATGGGCGATGTTTGACTCTTGAGTCAGGGGGGGCAAGAAAATAAAATATATATACAGTGTATATATATATATATATATATATATATATGAAATAAATAAATAAAAACAAAAGTTTTTTTTTTTCGGATGTAAGTATCAAAACAATGCCCTACCATATTGCAACACATTAAAGCTCAAGAATCACTTAAAGATGTTGCCACGGTTTAGTAAAATGCTGACCAGCCTTGGGCTCTTCCTGTTGACTTGAATGGTGATGCCTCCTGTTTGTCAGTTGTTGGCCTTTCATTTTTAACCAGAAATGTGCACGCTGCTTTTCTAATGTTCAGATGATTCACGAGCGTGCAAAACTGCACTCAAAAACTGCAGCGCTTTCAGCGGTGAGTGAATTCTGACAAAACGTTTCTGATTGGCCATTGCGTTTAAGAAATCAACAGATATGTCTGTGATTGGTTACATTGCTCAACGCTGCAAAAACACTTAGAGGGTATTTAGCGCTTGGCTAAGTGCTCCAATTGCAGCGGGGCCAACATCAGGGATTCCATGACTAACAATTTGGGGGGGGCAATTGTTTAAAAATATTTGTTAAACTCATTGTTTAGAACGCTATGTCAAATCTAAAACGTAAAACAATTAGAAAAACAGTCAGAAACACAGGGCTGGCCATTCTGACAGATTTATTTGATGTGTTGAAACACAACAGTCAGTGTAAAAGTGTGAGTTAAGCCCTATTCGCACGGGGTTAGTATTACCTGGGGACCTTGTGTGATTTTGAAATTATCCCCCCACATCTGAATTTTGTATGGTGTATTCGCACAGGATAAGCGAAACCTGTGATTTTACTCAAATTTACTGACTTATCTCCCAGATACCTGGATGTCAAGGCTTTGAGAGTCCCGTTCTATGGTCCGGTTAGATGGATTTAAAAAAGAAACTAATATAGATTCGTGCCCTGTGTCATTTACATTTCACCAGGTTAAAATAATATCTCAAGCTTTATGCTTGATTTATTTGTAACACATTAACCTAGAAACCTTTTCAGCTTTCTCTTTCTGCAAATTGTATAGTTATAGCGATATGACAGCACCCAAAATACTATCAAAACACTCCAACACAGCTCCATTCTTCACAAAGATGGATAAAAAGGCGCACAGGAAATAAAAACCTCGAAAAATTATATATGACCCGCCAAATGCTGGCCAAATCACAGAGATGCCGATTCGCACGGGACTAATATTATCACAGGACCTCGGAGTTTGGCAAAATATGGTAGGTCATTTGCGGGGGAATTTTTACTTTACAAATTACAGACATGGCCGATTCGCACGGGATTAAGAACACAGACAACCTCCGCAATTATTACAAATGACTGGAGGTCACCAGGTAATACTAATCCCGTGTGAATAGGGCTTTAGTCTAGTCAAGTGACATTTATTTATATATTGCTTTATTACAAGGCAGATTTTATTTTATTTTTCAGGGTAATGTAACATTAATGAACTCGAAAATAACTCAATTTAGCAAAGTCCATCAATTATGATACAACTTCAATTTAGCTATAAGCAGTTCTACAAATGGCCATAGTTTCATTCTTCAGCTCAAGTCAGATAATGTTGATTCAGTTCAGTTTAATAATGGTGACAGTGTTGCAAAGTTAGTGTCATTATCAAGCTCAATTCAGTTCAGATTGTGTTCTCATCTGATAGTGTCAGTTAGTATCAGCTGTTGATAATTAAAGTTATTATTTGCTGATGTTAATGAGGAACATTACCTCTGCTGTGTAGAATGACCCTTGTTCTTAATCCCAAATTTGATCCCAGTGTTTTTACACTTTTATTTGTCCCACATACACTTTTTCAGCACTCTAAAAAATGCTGGGTTAAAAACAACCCAACTTGGGTTATTTGGCAACCCAGCGCTTGGTAAATATTGGACAGAACACATGCTGGGTTATTTTGACCCAGCTGGTTGGGTTAAAAGTTTTTATGTTAAAGGGGTCATATGATGCGATTGACAGCATCATATGGCCCCTTTAATATAAAAATGGGCAGGAAATTAAAAATCACACACAAAATTACTATAGGCGACAGTAATAATCAAAAGATGAACATGTATTATTAAGCAAGAACACCAATGGACAAAATAATAAGACAAATTGAATTTATTCTCTATTTAACTCTATTTAACTCTACAGAATATAAATCCGCATACAATTCCTGCTCCAGCAAACAGTCTCCCCGTGTGGCTCGAGTTCCCAGTCAGTCTCTCTCCCTTGCTTCCCTATTACTGGTGGCTTTTATCCGGTCTCTCCACACCAATTACTGAAACGAGACACATGACACTTGCACTTGACATACAGGCTCGCTCCTGCCTCTCTCTCCCGTTGCAGACCTCGCTGAACCACGCCCCCTCGCCACACAGGGGAACTGCGAACTTTAGACCGCAGCCTCGCGTTTCACTTGTAGCTGAGAGATGGCGTAACTGACTCCAAAACCTGCCCAAAAACAAACAGTACTGAGATTAGGGAACATATTTTAACATCAAATTAAATTACACTCAGTATTATAACGAATAAAATCCATTTATGTTATGCAAGGCAAAGGCTTTTCCAGTGCGAAACGACCGCTGCTGACACAGCTGACTGACATGATCTCGTCCTTATGTTGTGTTGCGTAAAACAATATAATTTACACCACATTAAAGATAATTAAAAGATAAATAAATTAAATGCATACAAAGCTTTATTTCCCAGAAAGAGTGCAACAAATCGGCGGTGGCGGGGCTGAGAACCGCTCTCTCCTGTGGACTTAAAAAGCCTGTACTCTCAGCAGCTGCTTTGTTGAGAAGTTTGATCGGAGACAGGGAAAAAAATAACCCAGCGTTAAAATGACCCAGCACCTGGGTAAAAATATTAAAAACAACCCAATAAAATGACCCAACAGCCTGAACCCAGCATTTGGGTTAAAAAAAATAACCCAGCATTAAAATGGCCCAGCACCTGGGTAAAAATATAAAAAAATAACCCAATAAAATGACCCAACAAGCTGAACCCAGCATTTGGGTAAAAAAAAAATAACAACCCGGCGTTAAAATGATTCAGCACCTGAGTAAAAATATTAAAAATAACCCAATAAAATGACCCAACAGCCTGAACCCAGCATTTGGGTAAAAAAAAATAACAACCCAGCGTTAAAATGATCCAGTACCTGGGTAAAAATATTAAAAACAATCCAATAAAATGACCCAACAGACTGAACCCAGCATTTGGGTTAAAAAAAAATAACCCAGCACCTGAGTAAAAATATAAAAAAATAACCCAATAAAATGACCCAAAAAGCTGAACCCAGCATTTGGGTTAAAAAAAAAAAAAAAAAAAAAAAACAACAACAACCCAGCGTTAAAATGATCCAGCACCTGAGTAAAAATATTAAAAATAACCCAATAAAATGACCCAACTAGCTGAACCCAGCATTTGGGTAAAAAAAAATAACCCAGCATCTGAGTAAAAATATTAAAAACAACCTAATAAAATGACCCAATAGACTGAACCCAGCATTTGGGTTAAAAAAATAAATAACCCAGCATTAAAATGATCCAGCACCTGAGTAAAAATATTAAAAACAATCCAATAAAATGACCCAACAGACTGAACCCAGCATTTAGGTTAAAAAATAATAACCCAGCGTTAAAATGACCCAGCACCTGGGTAAAAATATAAAAAAAGAATCCAATAAAATGACCCAACAAGCTGAACCCAGCATTTGGGTTAAAAAAAAACCAGTGTTAAAATGACCCAGCACCTGGGTAAAAATATAAAAAAATAACCCAATAAAATGACCCAACAAGCTGAACCCAGCATTTGGGTAAAAAAAAATAACCCAGCACCTGAGTAAAAATATTAAAAACAACCCAATAAAATGATCCAACAGCCTGAACCCAGCATTTTTTAGAGTGTGGGTATCCTATTCCTTGACTGTGATAAGAATGTTTTTAAAGTCTTGCAGTCTTTAGAAGTATGAATCACATGAATTATAGATAATGGTGTAATTATGTGAAAACTGCAATATTTGTAAACAGAGCTTCTCTACAGGGCGTGTTCCTCTTCAGTGCGGTGCAAATGGTTCCTCTTACAATGAACAACTATGTGTTCCCTAAATGGGGGCAAGGAGTGGGCTGGCTCATGGCTCTGTCCTCTATGGTTCTCATACCTGGTTATATGGGCTACATGTTCCTCACCCTGAAGGGAACATATAAAGAGGTAACTGTTTTCATTTAGAGCTGAAAGTAAATACAATAACGAGTGGTATAGACGGTATATCTGAGCTCACTGGTGCTGGTTCTGGGCTCATTTCAGCGGATCAGGATAATGCTGCATCCTCCAGCAGTCACGCGTGCTCAGGAGAACGGGCCAGACCAACAGCAGCTGCAGACACAGATGGAGCAATCACCGCAACAAGAGCAGCAACCGGACCAAGCACCACAGCAACCACAATCACCACAAGCACCGCAGCAACGGCAACAACCGCCGCAGACGCAGCAGCAGACGCAGATGCAGCCGCAGGCTGATAGTTCCTCTTCGACTAACCCTGGCAATGACGCCAATGTTTAAAACCAGTAGAAGTGAACCCCAGCAGAGAGCAATCAAAGATTAACAACACAGAAGACTTCCATGTTTATACAGTAATAGAATCATCTACCTCCAGGGGTCATACATAATCAAGCTAAAACATGAAAAAAGCAAAAGTAAAAAAAAAAAAATATATATATAAAAAAAAACACAAACACAAAAACACTTGCATTTGAAAAACCTACACAAATAAATTCTGTATGTTTTTCAAATGTGAAGCAAAGCGTGTCAGTGTTAAATGACTTGTACTATGTATTATGTGAATTTGTCTCTACTAAGGTTATACTGTGAGTTAGATTTAAGGACAGTGCATTGTTTTGCAATGCATAAGCTATTTATGTGAGGTAGGTACTGTTTCTATGTTGCACTGGGGAAAAGCGGGAGTGTCAATGAGAAACTGGGAGAGATTATGTTACATTCTGGGTTATTTTTGGATAACCAAGGTGTATCAAGCAAACCCTGTGTCTAAAGCACAAAGAATTTCTAATCGGCAGAGCCCTTGGGTGGCCCGTCATGTGTTGTTGGAGATTTTTGTTGAGAAAGACTGTTACTATTTAGTTTTTTTTTCTGAGATAAAAAAGAAAGAAATACTTGTATGTGATTAAAACATTTTTAGAATTATTTTTAGAATGCTTTGTACTTTAATGTTGAGACCAAGGACCAAAATAATAGACTTAAGCAAAAACAAATCTATGCCTGCCAATGTATAGTTTGTAAAGCACAGGGAACAAAAAAACAAACAAAAAAAACAAACAAAAAAAATAACAATAACAAAATGGAAACACCGCAAAACATAGGCTGAACATTTTTGTTGATTATTATACAGATTATTGATGAGTACTGTCAATTCAGTGTCCTGTTTACATGTCCCCTCAGGAATATCCAAAAAAAGAAGAAAAGGGAAAAAAAAATCTCAGATTGTCTCTGAGCCTGAGTGCATATCAGCTCCTTAAGCCTGTGATTAATGTAGTCGTGATTTGCATGACCATTAGTTACTTCATGTGCCAAAATGTTGAATAGGTGCAGTGCTTAAACAAAACAGGAATGCACACAAACTGGCCACTCCATAACAACGGTTTACACTACTTGATTGTGCCATACTTTTTTGAAAAAGTATACAAAATATTTATACGGTATAATAGTTATACCATATTTGAAGTAAGTAGCACAAAACTAAAATACATGAGGGTGTTTTGGCCCTTTTTTCCCCCAAAAGCACAAAACTTAAAAGTACAGACTTCTCCAATGCTAGGGCAATGATGCGGTGACAGTTTGCGTCAAAGGCAGCTAGCTACATGCGAAAAGCGTTTGGTCACGTTAAACGTTTACTAAGAGGAGATACATAAAATGTGAAATGGCTATGTCCTTTGAATTTTGTACAAAGTTATTTTACTGCAGTTTTATCTGGAACTTTACTGTAAAATTGTGTGTAAAACATGTAACCGTGAATGTCTGTACTCCATTATTAAGTTTTTTGTCTAAATGTTGACATATTTGAAAAACAATTGCTGTTTTCTGCAATAATATTTTGATCTCTGAAACACATATCTAATGAAAATTATGAGTGAAGAGGATTATAAAAAGGAATATAAAACAAATAGAATTTATGTCTCGTAAGAAATAATATTGTTTTGTATATTTTTAATTGTTACACTGCCTAAAATTATAACATAGGACATGTATTTAAATGGTGTCATACAAAAAAGCACGATTGTTATGTAAAATGTATGAATAAACAGAAAATATTCGTAGTCTATAATCTGTGTGTTGATTTTCAGTCTTCACTAAAAGCCATTTGTTACACAGTAAATTCCCGAGTGTTAAATTAACACTGCTCGGACCATATATGGTCCCACTCTAAAAGAGTGTTAAAGTTAATGAGATAATTATGTGATTAATTAAGTGCTGATTGATCATTAGTAATGAACACCTGCTGTTAACAAGCAGAATCACTGAAGAAAAGAGAAACACAAGAACTACAACTGACTTCAGCCACAGACTTAGATGAAATACTGAAATAAGAGAAGACATTAAATCTCTCAAGATCTCAGCAGAAGATTATCAATCATCTCCACAAACAGCATCACCAGCTTCACACATTACTAAACAGTTTGACTTTTTGTTTGTCATGCGTCTAAAATGTCTTATTTTCAATAAACATTAACATCTAAATCTCTGTTAATTCTTAATAAGACAAATTGAAGTCACCATTGTGGAGATAAGTGTTTGCTTTAGTTGGGCTCTTGACCCTTGACTTTATTAACATTAGTTTTTCACTGGTTGCTGTAACTGTGTTTATGAAACACATTGGTTATAGTAAGAAAAACCAAGAGAAGATGGGTTTAAATTATATTGGCTGATTTTTTGATAATGACATGGTTGTCATGTTGTACCAGGTTTACTAATGTCATCAGTGATAATGAGTAATATAGTATGTTATTGATCACAATTGCACATAATGAAATAATATGAAGAGCTTTAAAAACACTTTGTACTGTTTAGACACACCAACATCAAGAATCAGCATATGAATCTCAACAATGTTGACCAGAATCAGACAGATTCATGCTGCAGTGCATTCTGAGTGCACCAATCATAATTCATCCATGGCTCCCAGCATGCATTGCGACACGAATAAATAAAGCAGCTGCATTGTCTTAGTATTTTCTTTTATTTTTACTATTTGCTTTTATTTTTAGTTGTGACTTTTTACTGCCTTGTTTTGTCACGTTCAAAAATCACATAAACATTATCAGAATATTTTGTCACCATTGCTGAGATTCACATGCTGATTCTTCATGCCTATGAGTGCCAGAATTGTGAAAATCATTTACAAAGTTTTTCTTGCATTGTTATCTCGCATTACTGCAACAACATAGAAATCATAAAATTGCTACAGTTTTAGTTAAATTGCGTTTTGTCAAGAAAGGCAATATCATTTATTAAAGTGTGTCCATGCTGATTGCTAAACTAGCTGTACTGTGTAATAACATTGTCTAATTTGTTAAAAAGTTATTTGAACAGTTTTATATAATGAATCTGCTGAAAAAGATTTAGCTACCTTAAATCAAAAATGATTGTTCTTATGTCAGGTTCATTAATTTTGTTTCCTAAATGAAAAGAAGATATTTAAAATGGAGGCACAAAAAAGTGTAATAAAAGTTACAAGAAACATGTAAGATCATATATTTTGTGTGCTAGTGAAAGGAGATTTGTCCTACAAGATTTTACGTAAATTGAACAGACCAATCAAGATCTTGACAAAATATTTTGTCACTTATGTGTGGCAAAGAGGCCAGAGCAGAACAAAAAATACACCCTATTTTCAAGAATTATGCTTAGATTCATGCACAAGCTAAAGCGTAAGTGAAGTGCAAGAAAATGCATGAGATAACACAGGACCAATCGAGTAACATTCTTTTACTACACAAACACTGACCAAAATAAACATGAGAATGATTAAAGAAAAATGATTGAAGACAAGCAGTTTTGTTATAGTTCTCCCAATGACTTGTACAGATGTTACTACCCTGGGACATTTTAACACGTATTTAACACTCACATAATGAACTAAAATTAAATATTAGGCTTACATTTACATTTAATTTAGGCATTTAGCAGCCGCTTTTATCCAAAGCAACGTACAAAGGATGACAACAGAAGCAATCAAAACCAACAAAAGAAACTGAGAATACTAGTGTTAGATTATTTTTTAAATAATAAGTATTGTATAGAGTGCAAGTGTTAAAGGATCAAGTGTTTTTTTAAAAATAAATAAAAAAAAAGAAAATTAGTAGAGAGAATAGAAATAGAATAGAGAGTGCTAGTATTAGAGGGTCAAGTAAAGTAAAATTACATTGAAATTAAATAAACAGAAATATTTGATTGATTAATAGAAAAATACATATCACTCAATAATTGAATAATTAACAAATCAGTAACTACAACTGGGACAGTTTGTTTTCATGATCAGACAGCAGTAATGATTCACAATAAAATAACGATATTCACAATAAAATAATTTCATTGGCCAGTCAACAAGAACACAGGACAATTTATCACTGTAGAGCATAGGCGCCACAGCTATTGTGCATTCGCTTGCCTCAATCCCACATAAATGGAACAGATTGCAGAAAACTACTGTTAACAATGGATTAATTAATTTAATTTGAGGACAGGGGAAAAAATTCTAAGTAAGAGTAATGTTATACATCAAATGACAAGGAAATTTATATTAAGTGTTAATATTAAACTGGAGAAATGGTGAGTGGTTTCTTTAATTGCTATTCACATATGCAAATATGATTGTATAATACCAATATGCACTGTGGCCTGGCCCCATGTTAGCAAATTAGTCAGGTTCATGTGTTAGCCAGGTACATGCGAACCAGCCATCTTGCCAGCTGAGATTAGTTAAGTTAATTAGTTAATTAGCTAAGCCAGGAACACACTACACAACTGTAAGGCTGGTTATGAATGTCATTTGATACTTAAAACTGATCACACCTAAATGTGTCAGAGCCATTTGCGTTCAGTTGGTGTTTACAGTCAGCATTTAAAATCATAAGTGTTTTCAGTTCAGTCTTAGAATGATTCAGTTAGTCGTTAAGTGTGTCTCTGGCTTTAGGTTGCATATCAGTATTTATGATTTGTTATACTTCCCAAATCAGATCATTACTAGACTACATTACTACCTCGGGATCAAATTTCAGTAACTATACAAGCATGTTTTGTGGAAGCATGGATGCATGATTTGTTTCATATTTTGCTTAACTAATAGTAATTTTCACCTGTTAGGTTGTTAGTAACTGATTGCAAAGACATTGTTCTATGTGTTTAAGGGTGTGTCAAGTCTTTCCAAGGGGACAAAGAAATCGAAGTTAAAAATCGAAAAGGAGTCATCAAAACAACTCCAGAAGCAGAATGTATCTGTTAAATTGAAATGTCTGTCAAATGCCAACACCAAACTGAAAATAAATCAAAATGAACAAGGAAACCGAATTGTAGAAATACTTTGAAGGAAATAAAAGATGAAATTAGATCAAATTGTTGACTGGGAATGCTAGTGTTAGAGGCTCTTATTTCTTTATAAATAAAACAAGTAGTTAGAATAGAAATAGAGGTAATGCAAAATGTTTCAATACAAGAATTTCAGTCAAATGTAATTTAACCTTTAACCCACTTGGGAAAATCAACCTATGGCAACAGTTTAAATGTAGCCCAATTCTGTGGAAATAAAATGCGGACTTGGCAACCCTATACATCCAACAAGAGCTGCAGAAGTCAGATTTGACTGATCACAGGTCAAGAATAAGGAGAGATGACTGACAAGACCATGCTTGAGTATTTGCTGCTCAACAGATCCTGAGTTCATTGACAAATATCTGGTCTTGTAAGATGTGCTCCCTTTACACAGAGTGCGTGTGATCGGGGCGGACTTTACCATTAGGCAAAGGTAGGCCTTGGGCCCCGAGCTACACAGGGGCCCCCCTAAAAATCCCGTAGTAACTTTTGGTTAAGGTTTTTTTTTTATTTTTTTACTTTATTGCAAATATCAAAAATTCAGAATGCATAAATAAATCATTAGTATTGTAAACAGGTGTGCGGGCGCCCCTGAACACCACCACCATTGGACTATTCCATTATTTCTCTTCACTACACATCTGCTGCAGAACTGCGGAAGTGATTGACAGATGGCGTGTGTACAGAGCTAAAATGAAGCAAAGCTACCCAAGCGGTGCTGAAAAAAGGAGGAAACGGGAGGAAAGCAAAACGTTTTTAGCAAAACTACCAAAGGTATCAAACTTTTTTGTGACATCACCAGCTGACGACGGTAAAGATTACGAGCAGAAAGAAGCTGATGTCGATTTTTGTGCCACTACTAACGTTAGCGTTGACACTAGCAGCATTGCCAGTACGGAGGAGCTACCCGTTGCTGCTGACAGTGTCAGTCCAGGCTGCTCAGTCGATGCTGCTGGTATATACAAGCCTAGTTCAGATCAAGGACAGAACGTATCCAAAAAATAAAGAAGGGCGAAGATTTACAAGCAGCAACTATTACCTGCAAATGAAGAATGGAGAAAAGATAAAGAGGTCCTGGCTCATGTACAGTGAAAAAAATGACTGTGTTATGTGCTTTTTGTTGCCGCCTGTTTGATAATCAAGAAAAGGACACTCAGCTAAGTGGGGATGGGTTCAATAACTGGAAAATTTTTGCAGCCCACTTGAGACAGCATGAGAGGTCTGCTGAACATATCACAAACAAGAATACTTGACGTAATCTTTCACAAAAACTACAAACAAACACAGCTATAGATCAGATAAACCAAGATCTAATTGCTCTTGAAGTCAACCGCTGGAAAGAGATTTTAAGAAGACTTATTGCAATTGTAAATGCAGACCATAGTCTTGCATTTCGTGGCGCCACCGACAGATTGTTTGAGTCTGGTAATGGAAATTTCCTTGGACAAGTACAATTAATGGCCCAGTTTGATCCAGTGATGCGTGAGCATTTGAGGAGAATTCAGACAAAAGAGCTAAGTGACACTTATTTAAGTAAACATATTCAAAATGAACTAATTTCCATTGTGGCAAAATGTACAACTGATGCAATTGTTGAGAGAGTAAAAACAGCCAAATACTATGCAGTGATCATGGACTGCACTCCAGACCTCAGTCACAATGAGCAGCTATCAGTGGTGCTAAGAATAATTAATTGTGAGTTATCAAAGGGTGTCTCCATCCATGAGCACTTTGTTGGATTTCTTCAGGCACTTGACACAACAGGAAAAGGCTTATGCGAGACATTTTTAGGCCACCTAGAAACACTAGGATTGGATCTGTACAACTGTCGAGGCCAGTCTTACGATAATGGGAGCAACATGCAAGGTAAAAAGCAGGGAGTCCAAAAGAGAGTGCTGGAATTAAACCCCAAAGCTTTATGTGTTCCTTGTGGAAGTCACACACTGAATCTTGTTGTTGGTGATGCAGCTAAGTCTTCTGTGATGTCCATCAGTTTCTTTGGGCTGTTACAGCGGCTTTACACTCTTTTCAGTTCCTCAGTTCACCGTTGGACCATTCTCAAAGAACATTTGAAGAATTTTACACTGAAGGCATTGTCAGCCACCAGGTGGGAGTGTAGAGTTGAAGCTGTTAAAGCTATTCGTTACCAGCTGCCTGAAATTGGGAAGGCATTAACTGTTCTAAAGGAGTACGCCACAGAGAAACGAGATGCTGATGTTGTCTCAACAGCTGAAAGCATCTGCCAGGAGCTGCAGAGATGGCCTTTTGTGGTAAGTACCATCGTGTGGTACAATGTGTTGTTCCAGATAAATAAAGTAAGTAAGATCCTGCAGAGCCCCAAAGTTTCATTCGAGACAGCGAGGGAAGAAATCAGGGCGGTGAAATAATTTCTTCAGGAATTTCGCAATCATGGATTTAATTCTGCTAAAACAGATGCTAGGGAGATAGCAGAGAAGGTGGAGCTTGAGGTGGAGATGAGATGGCCTGAGGTGTGTTAGAGAAGAAAAACTAAACAGTTTGAGTATGAGGGAACAGAGCACACTCAGCCAACTGCAGAAGTGCTCTTCAAAAGAAAGGGTTTTCTGCCTCTAATAGATACTGTTCTTGTCACAATAGAGGACAGATTTTCCAACATGGAAATCTTCTACAAGCTTTATGGATTTCTCTACTCTACTGAAATAATGAGAAGCACTGAGAATGAAGGGAAGCTGGATGAATGCTGCTACAGATTAGAGCAGAAATTGGATAACATTGATGCAGAAGACCTGAAGCTTGAGGTAAAGGGTGCAGTTAGGTCCGTTCCAACACATATCTCTTCACCATTTGAGATGCTGGACTATATATATAAAGAGAATATACTTGACATATATCCAAATTTGAGTATAGCTTTAAGACTACTTCTCACTCTCCCTGTAACAGTAGATTCAAGTGAGAGAAGTTTCTCATCACTGAAGCTAATCAAAACATACCTTAGGTCAACTATGACTCAGGACAGGTTGTCTGCACTTGCTGTTATCTCCATAGAGCAGGAAGTCAGGAAGTCACTGGATATGAAATCTGTGATTGCAAGATTTGCTGAGGTCAAAGCTCGCAAAGCCAGATTTTAGCAACTACATCTCTAAACTAAGCATCCCATCCATTCACAACATAGCCTCATGGCATATGATGTACTATATTATGATACATTTTAAAATTAAGTCCATAAAAATATTCATCACTGTTCTGAGTACTTTAGACACAAAAATTAAACCAGAAGCCCAGTGAACCCATTAAACCAGAAAGAAAAGTGAGATGAAGAGACAGGCAGACAAAGACAAATAGAAAAGGGAGAAGATGAGAAAGAACCTACACAAAGACAAGGGAGATGAAGAGAAGTTCAGAATCAGAAAAGGGAGAGCAAGAGAAAGTCAGAGAAAAAAAGGTACACATTTTAAACAGTATATTATTTTACTTTTGTGTGTCCATAGTTGATAATTTATTCTTATGGCTTGTGTGTTTTATTCTCACTTTAGTAACACAAGATGGAAGACCATAAACAACTCTTCCAAGGGAGAGCAAGAGAAAGTCAGAGGGAATTTTTTTTATAAACATGTTAAACATTATATTATTTGACTTTTGTGTGTCCATAGTTGATCATTTATTCTTATGGCTTGTGTGTTTTTTCTCACTTTAGTAACACAAGATAGAAGACCATAAACAACTGTTCCAATTTAGGCAGCAGCAAGCAGATCCAGTTAGGAGATTCTATCAGAGAACCTGCTGGGAAACCAAGGTAAATGACAACCAATGACAGCTCTTCCATATTAATAGACAATAAATATTATTGCACAGGTAGCATATTATCAAAAAAAGATTTGCCAGTGGACATATTTGTTAAACAGTTAAAATGGTTGTGCTCTTTTTTTTCCAGCTGGAACTCCAGATGACCAGACTTCATTGCTTTGTGAAGACTGCTGAAGAGAAATTACAATTAAGTCTTTCTTAGATTAATAAGGATTGACAAAAGGGAGGAACAAAAGATGTAGAGGGCCCCATGTCTGTGTTTGCCTTGGGCCCCAAAATGGCTAAATCCTCCCCTGCGTGTGATTGCGAAATCGAAAGTGAAAGTAAACAGTGCAAACGCTCATTCAAATATATTTAAATACTCCGCATCCTGAGAGCAGCTCCCTGATGTGCCAAAATTATATAGCCTATAAAATTTCACTGTTTAAAGGAGTGGACATGAAAATCGCAGGAGCGAAACACACGTTGCGGGAGCAGGCGGCAATGGTCAGAAATTCAGCGAGAGCGGGACATTTTGGGCAATTAAGAAATCCCGGCCGGACGCATTTTTGTAGGTCCAAAAAGAGGACATGTCCAGGGAAAAGAGCATGTATGGTCACCCTAATGTAGATGCATACTAGAGAGGAGGTAGGAGCGTGTGGAGCCCGTGGCTTTTCTTTAGGCAAACACCAATGACTTGAACTTGATGCAGGGCTGCAACTGGAAAGCAGCAAAGAGAGATGAGAAGCAGTGTGACGAGTCCTCTTGAGCTAATTAAAAACAAGGTGTGCTGTTGCATTTTGAATCATTTGCAGAGGTCTGATTGCACGTGATGGAAGTCCAGCCAGCAGAGCATTGCAATAGTCCAGCCTAGAAATGACGAGGGCCTGAGCGAGAAGCTGTGTTGCATGCTCTGTTAGGAAGGGTCTGATCTTCCAGATGCTGTGTAGTGCAAACCTGCATGATTGTGAAGTTTTTGCAATATGATCTTTAAAGGTCAGCTGATCATCAAGGATCACCCCAAGAGTCCTGGCTGAACACGATTGGATTATCGTTGATGAACCTAGCTGGATGGTAAACTGGTGCTGTACTGATGGGGAGGCTGGGAAGTTGAGAAGCTCAGTCTTTGCCAGGTTGAGCTACAGGTGATATTCTTTCATCCATGCCGAGATGTCTGTCAGGCAGTCTGAAATCTGTGAAGGTACCATTGTATATGTGTATATTGTAGTGATACCAAATATGGCATCAGATATGGCACTAAATTATGTTGTGGGTTTTGTCACATCACTTAAAGTGTCAGATGACCCCTCCTCCTCAGGACATCAGCTAAGGAATTTCACATGAGCAGTAAAAAACATTCTTGGAGGATTGATGAAAAAATACAATGTGAATTGGAGGGAGTTTATTGAAGGATTTGTGTAATATCGGTAACTTATAGGACCTTTTTATAGTTTTTTTTTCTGTGTGTGTATTGTTGTTAATCTGAAACCTTGAGTCCAACACAAATTTACCATTTGGGGACAATAAAGTGTATTTCAATTGGATTAACAATAAGATAGAGAAGAGTAACTAACCCAATGTTTAAATACCATTAATGGACAAGTTCATAAGACTGAATGCAAGTGATTAAGTTGTATGTTACTATGGCAATTACATCTTATGGAAAGTTTTTCCTCTGAAACTTATAAGATGACGAACCTTGTTGTGAATTCATAATTCTGTCAGTCATTTAGTCATAAACTGAATGATTATTTGTTAACAACTGATATCAGTTATACAACTTCTAATGCAAATTTGAGAAGAAAAAAAAACTCACAATGAACCCTAATGCCAAAGTCTGAGGAGGGAGGTTTTGGAGAAGTAAACTTTACGTTTCAAATGGTCAAGTGATGAGTCTGTTAGAGGCAATGCTTCCCTTGACTGTGCTGGGGCACATTGCAGTGAGAGAAAAGAGATGGATTCAATTTAAACAGCCTTGAACACAGTACTCAAGAACTTGCAAATTTGGCGCCTTCCAGTTCCAGTGCAATGATTGGCTGTTAGCCACAGTATGGCCCACTCTGGTGTGGAACTTGCTGTACATTGTCTAAAGTTAAGTTTGAACAGTGTAATATTTTACACCTCTGCATTATTGACTTTCCAATCCACTTAGCATCTCTGTGCATTTAGTGTTGTTTTCATGTATACTTTAATGGGTAAAAGTATTTATGTTGTTGTCATTTTGTTTACATTGTCACAAACAGTACTTATTATGTTTATATAGTTCTGGGAATGGATTTGGAGAAGATGTGCCCCCCAATTATTAGAAATGGCTAAATTGCATCAGTGATATAAACTGCTCTTTTTTCAAATTTTGATAAATGTGACAACTTGATTTATGTAATGTAACTGTAAATGTGTAAATGTGACTGTCACAAATTAGTTGAAGAAAGACGAAGATGATGGTAAAAATCAAACAAGGTTTATTAAATAATTCCAAAGATAGCCGATCTGCGAGACAGTACTGTAAAACACAAATAATACCAGACAAATGAAAGGTGAACAAAGATGAACTTAAATACACTGTGATAATTAACTAAAGGGAGAACATGTGAGCATATTTATGAGTGTTCATGGTAACTGATGAGTGGTGGAAAACTAGAACAAAGGAAGCAGGGAAGTGATGAATAAAATCTAAAAGTCCATGAAAAACTGTCACAAATTAGTTGAAGAAAGACGAAGATGATGGTAAAAATCAAACAAGGTTTATTAAATAATTCCAAAGATAGCCGATCTGCGAGACAGTACTGTAAAAAACAAATAATACCAGACAAATGAAAGGTGAACAAAGATGAACTTAAATACACTGTGATAATTAACTAAAGGGAGAACATGTGAGCATATTGATGAGTGTTCATGGTAACTGATGAGTGGTGGAAAACTAGAACAAAGGAAGCAGGGAAGTGATGAATAAAATCTAAAAGTCCATGAAAATTAAACTAAAAGTACATGAACTTGACATGGCCAGCGACACAGTACTCATTCCCGTATCTCAGAGAACCGAAGTTACGTTAGTAACCGAGTATGTTCCCTATCGATACTTCACTCGTGCTGCGTCTTGCTTAAGACGCTAAAGGGAACCAGTACAATCCCGCCGTGCTATGTTAGAGAACGACCAATGCTTGAACTTGCCTTGAGCACCAAGGGCCCAGAGGGACCAAGTAATTGTAGGGAAGCCCCACAGAAAGCGAAAGGGCCAAACTCGCAGAGGTCCGGAGAGGTCCAGTGACCGGAGACCCTCTGGTGCGGTCACTGAAGCATACAAAAAGCTGATCCGATCGTCTGAACGGGGCGGAACGCTCAATGTATATCCTCAATGCCTATATATATACTATATACTCAATGCAGAGTAGATTTAGCTCTTGGTCCTGCTCCGAAGGAGGAAGTGCCGAAAGAGCTATGACCTGTGCTCTGAACGCAGTCGAGAGCACTTTAGGTACATAACCATTCCTCGGCTTCAGGACGACCCTTGAGTCGTTGGCCAGAATTCGAGGCAGGTAGGACACACCGAGAGCACCTGCAGATCACCCATACACTTTACCGATGCTAACGCCAGTAGCAGAGCGGTTTTTACCATCAGGGGACGAAGGTCAACAGACTCTAGCGGCTCAAAGGGAGGGCTCTTCAGAGCCCTCAACGCCGTAGGCAGGTCCCATGTGTGGACGGTGACAGGGTGAGGCGGGTTGAGCCTCCTAGACCCTTTCAAAAATCGAACAACTAGGTTGTTCCTGCCCACTGACTGGCCAGCTATAGGAGCATGTGAAGCTGCTATGGCTGCTACATAGACCTTGAGCGTGGAAGGGGAATGACCCTTATCCAACAGCTCCTGCAGGAAGGACAATATCAGAGATATGTCACAGGAAATTGGGTCTGCGCCGCGGGTCATACACCAGGCGGAGAAGACGGACCATTTAAGGGCATACAGCCCCCTCGTAGAGGGTGCTCTAGCCTGAGATATCGTGTTTAGCACGCTCTCGGGGATGTCCGCAGGCAACCTTCGAGAGGCCAGAGGTGCAGGGCCCACAGTTCGGGCTGGGGGTTCCATATTGTTCTGTTCGCCTGAGAGAGGAGGTCTCGTCTCAGGGGAATGGTCCACGGGGCTGCTATAAGCAGCTGAGACAGCTCTGCGAACCAGTGTTGGGTTCTCCAGAGCGGGGCCACCAACAGAACCCTGTGTTTTCGCTCCTTGATTCGCCTGATTACCTGTGGGATCAGGGCGATCGGGGGGAAAGCGTAAAGGAGGATGTTGGGCCAGAAGTGGGCCAACGCATCCTTGTCCTTCGAAAAGTAAATTGGCCAGTGAGAGTTGTCTTCTGAGGTGAAGAGGTCGACCTCTGCCTTGCCGAAGATCTCCCAGATTCTCTGAACCATATGCGGGTGGAGCATCCACTCTTCTGAGGGGACATTGCTCCGGGATAGCATGTCCGCTCCCTGGTTCAACCTGCCCGGCACATGTGCTGCTCTTAGCGAACACAAGTGTAGATGAGCCCATTCCAGGAGGCACTCTACCAGAATGAAGAGGCGCTTCGAGGAGAGACCACCCTGGCGATTTATATATGACACCACTGTCATGCTGTCTGAGTGGACTAGCACATGGTGTCCCCTTAGGTCTGGCAGGAAGGTACGAAGGCCCAAACATACTGCCAACATTTCCAGGCAGTTGATGTGAAGCATCGCACAGAGCTCCCCAACTCGTGTTGGAAGTGTCTGTCGAGACTACCTTCCTTCTGCAGACCATACCCAGTGGCATGCCCCGATCCACCCACTGATGGCGCCAGGTGTGGGACGGAACTCGTGGTTTCAGCCAGTATTGAAGGGGCCGCATGCGAAGCAGGCCCAGTTGAGGTACTGGAGATGCAGAGGCCATCAGGCCCAACATCTTCTGAAATGCTTTGAGGCGAAGGGCTCCAATTTCGAATGAGGCCGCAAGCTGCCGAATAGCCAGTGCACGATCTGGCACGACTACCGCCCTCATTCTGGCTGAGTCGAGAACTGTTCCCAGGAACGATATCCGTTGGCTGGGAGACAGCGTGCTCTTGGCAAAGTTGACCCTGAGTCCCAGGCGCTGCAAGTGGCTGAGGAGTAAGGATCTGTGGAATACTAGCTCATTCTCTGACTGGGCGAGGATGAGCCAGTTGTCAAGATAATTCAGGATGCGTATTCCCATCTGTCTCAGTGGGAAAGAGCTGCATCCATGCACTTCGTAAAAGTGCGGGGAGCTAGGGACAGTCCGAAGCGAAGGACCATGTACTGATATGCCCCTCCCTCGAAGG